CAAACAGTGATTGTCCCAGACAGGCCTATAGAGAAAGGGCATTGCTGTCTCAACTTTCCCTCTGATGCAGCCCGATGGAATATATTGTCCTTTAAGGGGCCAAGAGACTCTTTGTTGTTCATACCACACACAGTTTAAATGATGTTGCATCCACAAATCCTATCAGGCTTTTCAAAGATAGGGAGTTTAACTGACAAGGGAAAGTGTATTGAAGTGTATAAGCTTAGTGATTATTTATTACACAAGGGCAAGTTTGTTGTTATAAACGTTCTCTTTAAATGTGTGATCTCTGTTTTGCCACCTGTTCGTAAATTAAGATAGTGTTTCTATGTAAAGGGAGTAACTAGCTTGGATAACATGAACGCTGAAAGAATTCGTCTTTATGAAGCAATAAGAATGTTATGTGTTAGCTTCCGGTTTGGCTCCCACGAATGGCGGACGCATCCTCGGGTCGCTCCCGAGGGCGTCTCGCCCGCCCGCGGTGGAGGAGGGAATCCGCACGAGCGGAGACCCGAACGAGCCCCTCAGGAAGAGAGGAGCTCGGATCCGGGGCGCTTTAGGGCATACTAGGGGGGAGTCTCTCTTTCGGCCGAGAGGTCGGAGATCGAGGCTCCCGCCATGCCCTGCCCCAATGGACCTTGCTGCATGAGCGACCCCGTTTCACAGGGTTTAGCGGAGCCACCAGACGTCACCGAGTGATAAAGCAATCATCCGAAAAAATGGAAAAAGAAAAGATCGGCTTAACTGTGAGTTGTCAAAATGCAGAGAAAAAGAACTAAGAGCGCTACCCCCCCTCCCAGCGAAAAAGACGAGGAGGTTAATCCTCTAACTTCATAAGCGAGAAAGTAAAGGAGGGGGGGAATGGACTGAGCGAATAGTAGTGATTTCCTTTGATGTATTTGAATGAAGCGTGAAAAAGTTTTGTTTCTCTGGAGCGCGCTTTAAGAATTTTATTAAAAGTAAATAAAAAACCACAAGATGTCGGAGCTGGGTAAAGGCAAGCGGAGAAGAAGGGAGGAACTTCCGGTCTGGGCATTTGCTTATGAGTGAGAGCCGGCTGTTTACTGCTTGGACTTGTTTGTGGCTGTGAATCTGACGGGGGATTGTGAAAAGAGAAAAGTTGAACTTGTGACAGCGAGAAAGTGCCTTATAAGCGCTTTTAAAAGTCAACAGTTGCGGAGGAGGTTCCAGCGGAGGGATTGGGAGCGTATAAAAGCGAAACCGGAATTAAATACCATTCTCAAAGCTGGAGCTCTCCTGAAATGGCAGGAAAGAAAGAGGATTTATAGCATATGAACTGAAAGTGTTAACAGCGACCCGAAGGAGGATGGGAAAAAAAAGCCGGAAAGAGAAGAAAACAGAGGAAGCTCCTCCATGCTATCTGGAGTGTAAAAGAAACCAGCACGCAAAGAAGCGGTTCTGAAGACGCCCTGAAGAAGCTTTTTAACAGAAATTCAAAGGAACATTACTAACATACTAACATAGCTAATACTTGTAACTGGACTGAAAAAAGAAATTTGACTGCTCACCGAAGAAGCCTAAGAAGATTGATTGGACATTACTAACAGTTAATCTACCAGTTAATATATCACTCAGCTTTCTCTTCCTCTCACTATATACCCTCCCTATTTTTCTATTTAAGCGAAACACCTCTCCTTTTTAGGAGAGTCAATAAAATTTTTATATTAAAAAAAGAATGTTATGTGTTAACTCACGGATTAGTATTGTGTAAGTATTACCATTATGGTAGGCATTATAGAGGTTTTTATGCAAGAATGAGTGTTAATACAAATTGCCAATTTTCCTCTTTACTGTTTTCCTCTCTTTCTAGTCATATGTAAACAAGTGTCATTCACGCAGCACACTCTGAAAAAGCTGTTATGTGAAACGGTTTATATGCATTTTCCATCGTGTGTGTGCGTATGTTTTTGTAATGTGATGAAGAAATATATTCACTGCAGAACTGAACCCTAAATATATTTTCATAATATCACATCACGGTTGTTTTTGTTATAGGGTTGCCAGCCTCCAGGTAGGGCCTGGGGATCTCCTGCTTTTACAACCAATCTCCAGGAGACAGAGATCAGCTCCCCTGGAGGAAATGGCTGCCTTGAAGGGTGGCATTGTACCATGCTGAGGCCCCTCCCCAAACCCCACCCCCTCCTGGATCCACCCCCAAAGTCTCCAGGTATTTCCCAACACAGACCTGGCAAGTTGCAACCCTAAGCAGAGTTGATGTGGTGTAGTGATTAGACTGCTACATTTGGGCACTGAAAACTTGGATTCAAATTCCTGCTCATCTTGTGAAGCCCAGTAGGTAAACTTGGGCCAGTTGCTCTCTCTCCCCTCCCCCAGCCCATCCTACATCACAGGATTGTTGTGAAGATCAAATGGAGGAAAGGAGAGCTATGTATGCTACCACAACAACTTTGAGGAAGGGAGGGCATGCTTTAGGATGAACAGGGAATCTGTAACTTGGGGCAATCAGGGATGCAAATGGCTAGACTCAAGAGGGACAGATGTGTGGTGACTGAGAAGAGAACTTAAAGGGGGGACGGTATCACAGGAGATATGAAATGTGCAGATGCAAGCAAGGCAATGTCATTTGAGAACTCCCAAAACTGGCAACACCTTTACCTTTGCATCTTCAGGCTTCCTTTCCCCACATTCCCATCATGGAGAAATACCATGTTTTGGAGGTGATTGGAGAAGGCTCCTTTGGAAGGGTATATAAGGGACGTCGCAAATACAGTGCCCAGGTGAGACCAAACGTTGAATGGGAATTAGCTCACTGGGTATTTAGAGAGAGGAGTTTTTGAAGAGAGCAGTTTAAGAAATGTGCCCTCAGCCTGCAGTGCTGATAGCCCTACAATTAGTTTCTCAGGGGCAGAAAGAGAGGAAGCGGGAGAAAGGAGTATGCGGCATGTTTCCAGGTTGTACTTGTTTTCTGGCAGGTGGTGGCCTTGAAGTTTATCCCCAAAGTCGGTCGATCACAGAAAGAGCTAAAGAATTTGCAGCGAGAGATTGAGATCATGAGGGGGCTTCATCATCCCAACATTGTGCAAATGCTTGACAGTTTTGAGACTGACAAAGAGGTGAGAGGTGATACTGTGTAGGATGAGAAAAAGTGTTTGTGTGAAAGGTCCACAAGTAAGACCAAAAACATGAGCGCTTTGGCATCTTACTCCACAAACTAAGTGATGTCATATTCTCATAAGAACGCAGTACGTACTCTGGCAGTGCAATCCTAAACAGAATTATACTCCTTTAAATCCACTGACAAATGCACTTAGAAGGATGTAACTCTGCTTAGGATTGCATGCTAGGTAGAGTGAATCAGAAGTCAGGCAGGATGACAAACTACCCGTCTATGAATGGCTGGATTTCCAGGGCAAGCCATGAGGCCGCATCAGTTAACTTTCTGAGACCTGTCAGCAGAATGGCCTTTTGCAAGAGCCAGTTTGGTGTAGTGGTTAAGTGTGTGGACTCTAATCTGGGAGAACCGGGTTTGATTCCCCACTCCTCCACTTGCACCTGCTGATGTGACCTTGGGTCCGTCACAAGCTCTGGCACAGCTGTCCTTGAAAAAGGGCAGTTTGTGTCAAAGTTCTCTCAGCCCCACCCACCTTACAGGGTGTCTGTTGTGGGGAGGGGAAGGGAAAGGAGTTTATAAGCCGCTCTGAGACTCCAAGTGAAGGGCGGGGTATAAATCCAATCTCTTCTTCTTCTTCTTCTTTTATTTGTACATGCTGCTCACACCCACTTCTCAGGGCACTGAGAATGTGGTCACGGCTTCCCCTCATGGGGGGCAGCCTTCTGTTTCTTCCAAACAGAACAGGTTCTTTAATGATAGTATTATTCCCCCACCCCCCAGAACTCATGAGAATGTTGTGATCATGTTTTCCCCCCCTCCAGGTGGTGGTAGTGACAGATTATGCTGAAGGGGAGCTTTTCCAAATCCTTGAAGATGATGGGAACCTGCCTGAGGAACAGGTAATTGTGACCTGGGGTGAGAGTGGAAAATAGGTACTTAAGCAAGTGGAGGAATGACTATTGGAAGGAAGGGTTACAAGACCTCTAGAAGCACAGAATTCAGACCATGTATTTGTGTAAATGGCATGTTGGATCGCATGCAACTGCCTTTATGTATGAATTATGAAAATGTTAGCAGTAGCCGGAGAGCAGTTGTCTCATTAACAGGAGACCATAGCTGGGCCGGAAGAGGCCAATACAGGTAGAATTCTGCGTGTCTCCATGTGTGCGTCTGTGTCTTGGGATGGGGCTGCAGTCTACTATTGAGGGCCATCAGACAGGATAAGGAAAGGAACAGAAGCTTTGTGCTGAAGCTGGGGAGCTTCGTCACAGCCAGTTGTGTGTCAGGCTTGTCATTTGTCTCTCAGGTGCAGGACATTGCATCTCAGCTAGTTTCAGCCCTCTATTATCTGCATTCCCATCGCATCCTACACCGGGACATGAAACCTCAGAATATCCTGCTGGGGAAAGGGGGTGTGGTCAAGCTGTGTGACTTCGGGTAAGTGCCTTAAGATCCTTACCCCTTCCCACCCAGTCGCTGGAGTTAGCACTGAAATATCGGATGTGTTCCTTCTTTTCTGGGAAGATTTGCCCGTGCAATGAGCATCCACACCATGGTGCTGACGTCTATTAAGGGAACTCCGCTGTATATGTCCCCCGAGCTAGTGGAGGAGAAGCCCTATGACCACACAGCTGACCTGTGGTCAGTAGGCTGCATTCTGTACGAACTCTATGTGGGGACACCACCCTTCTACACCAACAGCATCTTCCAGTTGGTCAGCCTGATTATCAAGGACCCCATCAAATGGCCTAAAAACATGAGCCCCCACTTCAAGGTAACGGTCTTTAGTTTTATTTCCCATTCTTGCCAGCGAATTCATGGCAGGTTTATAAATATTGTTATTGTCGTTTTACTTATATTGTTACTGGTGGTGGGTGTGACGGATAGGAGGCTGTCCTGTCCCTGGAGGGAAAGACAGCCACTCAGCTGAGCCAATGGGAGTGCTGCTTCAGCATCCAGTCACCTTTCAGAGAGGGGATGGAACGTCAGAGGGAAGCACAGCAGGAGTTAGTTGAGAGATGCCTTAGGGAGAGGGCAGTGATAGTTTTTGGGTCTGTCTCAGCAACAGAGCAGACAGTTTGTACAGTAGCTTTGCCTGGCAATGTGGCAGAAAGGTTTAAGTCTAATTCTGGGAGATAATTGAGTACCTGACCATCAAGCATGTCTCTGAAGATGAGAAGACCTTGTAACATTTTGTCTGACTTTTGAGAAAGGGCAGTCTGATGTGGGTGGAATCCTGTATGTATGAGAAGATCCAACCTAATGGCTGGTCAGTAAAAGCCTCTTTGTACCTGAAAGCCAGTTGAGAGCCAGTTTGGTGTAGTGCTTAAGTGTGTGGACTCTAATCTGGGAGAACTGGGATTGATTCCCCACTCCTCCACTTGCACCTGGCTAGATGTCCTTGGGCAAGCCATAGTTCTGATCAGAGCTGTCCTTGAAAAAGAGCAGTTTCTGTCAGAGCTCTCTCAGCCCCACCTGCCTCACAGGGTGTCTGTTGTGGGGAGGGGAAGGGAAAGGAGTTTGTAAGCCGCTCTGAGACACCTTCGGGTAGTGAAGGGCGGGGTATAAATCCAATCTCTTCTTCTTCCTCTTCTGAAAGCATTAAAGAAAATTCAGATCACACTCTGAAGCCATAACCAGCTTAACCTTCGGTGTCTCAGCCAGGTTGCCCCTCTGACTATCTGGAGACCTGTGCTGCTGATCTATTCTTTGAGACTAACCTGTAAATAAATAATTCATCTTTGTTATTTATATATACAACTCCTGCCTTGGTGAGCTCTGTGTTCTACTTGCTCACTGCAAAACTTACTTCACAGCAGCAAGCCCAAAGCCTATACCCTTGGTACCTTAAGAACTTCTGGTACCTGAGGGAATGTTTACAGTCTAGAAAAACATGGTTCCCCAGAATCATAGGAGGCGTGTTGGAAGCAGAGAAAACATGCATAATTCTGCCTCCATCTAATTATTGCTGCTTCAGCAATTTCATATAAATCTCTTTCTGCTAATTGTCTTGCCCCCATTCTTTTGGGGATTAGACTTGGAAGAGTGTGATTGTTGAAGGATGTCCTTTGGTACAAAAACATGCTCTAGCAGTATCACTGGAGTCCTCACCAGATTTGTTAGGGCACATCATGGATTCGAGACTCTCTCTACCTGCCTGAGTACCCTTCAGATAAACAAAATACAATATGTTCAGAATGTGAACAGTTAGTATAAAGAGAGTCTTCCAGTAGTGACCAGAAAATGCCATTGAATCTGAGGTTCTTATGGTTAGCCTAGCAGTTCAGATTATAGGAAAGATGTAGATAGTCTGTGGCTGTGCTGATGACCATCTCCTATTTGGGTGCAGAACTTCTTGCAAGGTCTGCTGATGAAGGATCCTCGTCAGCGCCTGTCCTGGCCGGAGCTGCTCTACCATCCTTTCATTGCTGGGCTGGTCACTGGTGAGTACTGGCTTCCCCTGTTTCCTGCCATTTCATCTGCTCCTTCTTGCTGGCCTCAGTCCAAGCAAGCCTATTTACTGACTGGGACCATCTTTTGCAGTGATTGATGACACAGCCGAGCAAGGCATTGCCAATCCTTTCACCAGCAAACTACCTCCTGAACTGCAGGCCTTGAAAGAACAGCAGACACATTCATTGGCCCCTCACAGCGGCCAGTCAAAAATCTTGAGGAAAGCACGGCAGAAGATGGCCCAAGAAGCTCAGAAAAAAGTGAGGAGCCCCCATCCTTCACGAGGTTCCTTAAGGGATGCTAAATGCATAACTTTAGTACCTGATCATGTGCCGCTTGACCTCTTCCAGGAACTGGTGAAAAACAAAACTCTATCTAAGGGAGAAAGCATCAAAGGATCCCAGGGCCACCCCCACAAAAGCCACCTTAGTCAGACGTCCACCAAGGAAGGAAAAACAGCTGCCAGCACCAGAGAACAGAGGCACCCTTCTCTGGATGAAGAGGGAACAGAGTGGGAGCAAAAAGAACCTTCCCCCACACCTCGGTGAGGAGTTGGAGTTGAGGGTGAAGACCGCATGCTGTTTCCTAGTCTCAGGAGGGGGTGTAACTCAATGATAGAGCATCTGCTTTGATTGCAAAAGGTTCCAGGTTCAATCCCTGGCATCTCCAGTTAAACAGATCAGTAAGTGGTTAAAGGTTAAAACGCTTGGGGCTGTCTAGCTTGGAGAAACTACGGCTGACGGGTGACAGGATCGAGGTTTATAAGATTATGCATGGGATAGAACAGGCAGAGAAAGAAGTACTTTTCTCCCTTTCTCATAATACAAGAACTCGTGGGCACTCCGTGAAATTGCTGAGCAGCCAGGTTAGAACAGATAAAAGGAAGTACTTCTTCACCCAAAGAGTGATTAACACTTGGAATTCACTGCCACAGGAGGTGGTGGCGGCTACAAGCATGGACGGCTTCAAAAGGGAATTGGATAAACATATGGAGCAGAGGTCCATCAGTGGCTATTAGCCACAAGGTATAGATAGGAACTCTCAGTCTGGAGCAAGGGAGGCTCTGTATTCTTGGTGCTTGGTGGGGGGGCAGCAGTGGGAGGGGGCTTCTAGTGTCCTGGCTCCACTGCTGGACCTCCTGATGGCACCTGGTATTTTTGGCCACTGTGTGACAGAGTGTTGGACTGGATGGGCCATTGGCCTGATCCAACATTGGCTTCTCCTATGTTCTTATGTTAAGTGATGTGAAATATCTCCACCTGGATAGCTGGTGGTGGTCAGAGTAGACACTTCTTTCCTTGATGTATCAACAGTGTGGCTATAAGGCAGCTTCATGTGTATCAGCTTCTCATCCCTCTTCATGAACAGAGAGAACTTGATTACGCAAGATTATGAAAAGGAGTTTCTGGATATAAGACCTGAAATCGGCAAAGTAGAGACACAAGGCAGCCGTAGCATTGATACTGTAGAATTAGAGACAGAGGTGAGTGCATAGCCAGGTGGTATCTTCCCTGTGCTTAGGCAGGAAGAAGGTGTTTTCCTAGCTTCCTAATCGTGATCTTCACTGACTCACTCTTGTTTCTTAGGAGTTGGATAGTGATGAAGAGTGGCAACACCTGATGGATGCCACAGATCCTGCGCATGTGCAGCTTAATGCCCCACTGAGTCTTCTGCGGGACACCACCTTTGTGCAGCGCATCCATGCCCGGCTCAGGGACTCTGGTCAGCAAGTGAGTTGTGATGCCTAAGAGGAACTTAGAGAGAGTTCTTTTTTTTTTTGTATAAAGATTTTATTGACTCCCCTAAAAAGGGGAGGAGTTTCGCTTAAAAAGAAAGATAAGGAGGGTATATAGTGGGAGAAAGAGAAAGCTGAGTGATGTATTAACTGTTAGATTAAACTGTTAGTAATGTCCAATCATCAAAGGCTTCTTCTGCGTGTTGTCAAACATCTTTTTTCCATTCCAGTTACTTTCTATGTTAATTTGTTAGTAATGTTCCTTTGAATTTCTGTTAAAAAGTCTCTTCAAGGCACATTCAGAACCGCTTCTTTAACGCGCTGGTTACTTTTCCCCTCTCAGTGACGGGAGGGGCTTCCTCTGTTTTTCTCTTGCCTCCGGCTTCTTCCCCTCCTCCTTCGGGTCGCTGTTAACTCTTTCAGTTCCTGTGCTGTAAGCTGTCTTCCTTTCATGCCATGCCCGGAGATCTCCAGCTTTGAGAATGGTATTAATTTCAATTTCGCTTTTATCCGCTCCCAATCCCTTCGCTGGATTCTCCTCTTCAATTGTTGACTTTTATAAGCGCTCATGAGGCACTAGGAACTTAGAGAGAGTTCTGTAGGGCAGCTGCTCAGAATATGAATAAGATGATCTTGCAGGGAGGAGGAGGAGGAAAGAATTGGTGGAAATATTAGTGGAACCCTTTAACTGTCAAGTTCTCTCCATCAGTTCTAGGCTATTCAGGTCGTATCTGTGGGAATCAGGTCCATCAGTGGCTGTGTCACAGGGGAAGTAGCAGGGCTGGGAAGGACCTTTGCCTAAGACCTTCTAAGAGCTATTGTCAGTTAGAACAGACAATAGTGGCCTAGATAGTCTCCGTATAAGATGGTTTCCTAAGGTCATAATAATATTTACTTTGTGAATTTTAGGATGTTCTGACTGTGCCAGGATGCTGTAGAGAATAATCACGAGGCTGTATCTTACTTCTAGAGTATTTTAGGGGCTGAGGTGGGGATATGTTGGGGATATTGTTGCCTGTGGCACGGCTTGACCTGTGTAGACAAACACAAGTTGGGACCCACAAGAAACTTGCGGGAGTGGCTATCCTATTCCAACCACCTCTGCTTCTTCCCCTCTCCCCCTCCTTCTCTCCCACTCTTTCTCCTTCCTGACACCCCTTTTCTTACTTCCTCTCCCCTCCATGCCTTTCACTTCCTTTCTGCCCCCACCCCATCACTTTTTCTGCCCCCGTCACTCTCCCAGCCTCCCAATTACTCCCCCCCCACAGCAGCAGTGGCAGCAGTTGCTCTCCAGGAATCACAATGGATTGTCCAAATACAGAGATCAGTTCCTCTTAGGGTTGCCAGCTCCATGTTGGGAAATTCCTGGAGATTTGGGGGTGGAGCCTTGGGAGGATGAGGTTTGAGTTGGGAAGTGACCTCAGCAGGGTATAATGCCATAAACTCCACTCTTCCAAGCAGCCATTTTCTCTGGGAGAACTGATCTCTGTCATCTGGAGATGAGTTGTAATTCCAGGAGATCTCCAGGAATTTCCCAAACTGAAGCAGGCAATCCTAGTTCCAGGCCTGGCTCCAACCCCCCTGCTATTTAGCCATTTATACTGCAGGGGGAATCCTCCCCAATCCAAGATCCAGTCCTGTTCTTGCTTCCTCCCCTCTCTGTCTCTCACTGTGGATGCAGTGAGGCCTGGAGTAGATCCCTGTGGTGGCCATTTCAAAAGGTATGGGGGGGGGATTCAAAGTTTTCCCCAAGTTTTTGCATTTTTCTGCAGACCCAGGGAGTCTTCTAAGTCTGTAGAAAACCCTGTTGGGGGAGAGTGTGCCCCCTATCTGCAGAAATAAGTATCCGCACGCAGAGGGGACTGTTGGGAATTAGATATATAGAGAGTATGCTTATGTATGTTGTTGACCTTTACTTGTTGCCCAGGTCCTGGAGGGGATGTTCGAAGGAACTTCTCATCTTCGTCCTGCTCTCCGTGTCATTGGCAATTTGCTAGGTACCCACTGTGACTCAGAGCTGTTGTACAACTTCTGCAGTGTCATAAGACTGCCCCACTTTCTCATGCAATTAGTGGGAAGCATCTTGGAGAACTTCAATATTAAGCAGGTAGGGAAGTGAAGCTCCCTAGGAGGTTAGTTTGCATGAAATCTCCCATGTGAATAGCAGGCAGCTCTTTGTATGTGCATTTTAGTTTACCTATGGAACTATGATGCATGCAAAATATATTCAGATCTGGTTATTGAGAAGACTGTTTTCATTACATAAGTTATAGAATGTACTTAATTTTAGTTGCATTGTAGAAGCGCAGAGGAAAGAAATAAGCAAAAGAGTAACTTTGAAAGTCTGATGTTTATTATAATCTTGTTATCTTAAAGCTAAGAAACACACACTTTAGCCATGCAAGATTGTGTTTGCTCACTTTATACTTTTATATTTGCATAATATTAACTCTCATGTATTACTATTTGAGCAATAGGGAAATATCAATTATTTTGAATTTATGAATTTATGTATTAACTAGGAAAAAGGCTCATTGTGGAAATAAATACAACGGCCTCTAGAAAGAGGCTCTGGGCGGGTGCCCCGGCCTTGGACACTCAGTGTCAATTTGCTGTGGCGACCTCAGCAGGGTATAATGACACTGAGTCCACCATTTTCTCCAGAGGAACTGATCTCTGCTACCTAAAGAACAGTTGTAATTTTGAGTGATCTCCAGCCCTCACCTGGAGATTGGCAATGATGGTTCCTCAGAAGGGAATGGTTGGTTTGCAGGGTGGAGTCTATGGCTTTGTACCTGTCCGAGGTCCCACGCCTCCTGAAACCTCACCCTATCCAGGCTCCATCCCTCATCTCTCCAGGAATTTCCCACCTGGAGTTGGCATCCTATCTCCTTCCCAGCCAATCATCAACCTACCTTTATTTCCCCCTCACTCTTCACCTTTCCACCCCCCACACACCTGCAGCCTCTCCCGTGCTCTGAAGCCCTGACTGCTACGTCACATTGGCTGTCATATGGGGGCCACCTCAGCAGCATATAAGGATACAGAGCCCACCATTTTCTCCAGGGGAACTGATCTCTGCCATTTTTAATTTAGTTGCATTGTTAAGATGTTTGCAGAGTTTAGGATATTTTGTCAAGAACTGCAGTTATACAAAACTACAAAGAGGGGGAGGGGTTGAATAAAGAACCCCATATCCTGATCATTGGAAAGCTCCATGGTGCCTGGGCTTTCCACAGATGCTGTTTGTGGCAAGCTCTGAGAGAACTGTGACTGACCCAAGGTCACCCAGCTGGCTGCATGTGGAAGAGTGGGGAATCAAACCCAGTTCTCCCAGATTAGCGTCTGCGCACTTAACCACTACACCAAACTACACCTATGGTAATTTATTATATAAAAAAACTGAGTTGAAATCAGATGAGATGTTATTAAAACAAAGCATAAAACTATCCTGGTGGGAAAAAATGTATTAAAATCAAGATATAATGAAGATAAAAAACCAGGATTTTATACTAGTCCAAACGAAATTGATAAAATATGGCTCTCTTCAAGCGATAAATTAATTCAGAAATTGTATAAAAAATTGCTGGAGGACTTTTTACAAGATGAGACCATAAAAACATCAATGACACAGTGGCCAGAAATACCAGTGCCACCAGTGGGGCCAGGACATTAGAAGCCCTCCCACTGTTGACCCCCCCCAAGCACCAAGATGACAGAGCATCACTTGCCCCAGAGTCCCTATCTATACCTTGTGGCTAATAGCCACTGATGGACCTCTGCTCCATATGCTTATCTAATTCCCTTTTGAAGCCGTCCATGCTTGTAGCCGCCACCACTTCCTGTGGCAGTGAATTCCAAGTGTTAATCACTCTTTGGGTGAAGAAGTACTTCCTTTTATCCGTTCTAACCCGACCGCTCAGCAATTTCATGGAGTGCCCACGGGTTCTTGTATTGTGAGAAAGGGAGAAAAGTACCTCTTTCTCTACCTGCTCTTTCCCATGCATAATCTTATAAACCTCAATCATGTCACCCCTCAGTCGTCGTTTCTCCAAGCTAAAGAGCCCTAAGCGCCTTAACCTTTCCTCATAGGGAAAGTGTTCCAACCCTTTTATCATTCGAGTTGCTCTTTTCTGCACTTTTTCCAAAGCTATAATATCCTTTTTAAGGTGTGGTGACCAGAATTGCACACAGTATTCCAGATGAGGTCGCACCATTGATTTATATAGCGGCATTATGATATTGGCTGATCTGTTTACAATACCCTTCCTAATAATCCCCAGCATAGCATTGGCCTTCTTTATTGCAGTCACACACTGTCTCGACATTTTCAGTGAGTTATCTACTACAACTCCAAGATCCCTCTCTTGATCAGTCTCTGCCAGTTCAGACCCTATCAACGTGTATTTATATTTAGGATTTTTGGCTCCAATGTGCATCACCTTGCACTTGGCCACATTAAACCCCATTTGCCATGTTGACGCCCACTCGCCCATCTTTGACAGATCCCTTTGGAGTGCCTCACAATCCTCACTGGTTTTCACCACCCTGAACAACTTCGTATCATCCGCAAATTTAACCACTTCACTGCTTACTCCCAACTCCAAATCATTAATGAACAAGTTAAAAAGCAGTGGACCAAGTACTGATCCCTGTGGTACCCCACTGCTTACCCCCCTCCACTGGGAGAACTGCCCATTTATACTCACTCTCTGTTTTCTATTAATTAGCCAGTTTTTGATCCATAAAAGGACTCGTCCTTTTATCCCATGATTTTTGAGCTTACTTAGGAGCCTTTGATGAGGAACTTTATCAAAAGCTTTCTGGAAGTCAAGGTAAACAATATCTATTGGATCCCCCTTGTCCACATGTTTGTTCACCCCCTCAAAGAACTCAAGTATAAAATTCTAGAAGTAGCAGAAATGGACAAATTAAATATAGTATTACAAAATAAACCAGAGGAGCTTTTTTGGGATGGATGGAAAATCATTTACGCCTAGCTGAAGATGAAGAAGATAAAATAGAACTAAAAATATGCTAGTTAAGGATATTCGAGGTTAAAGAAGAAAGATGAACTCTATGTTATGAAATGTATAAGCTTTAAATGAATATGCATTTGTGAAAACTGAAAATAAATTTATAAAAAAAAGGAAACCAAATTCTTCATTAAATTCTACATTTAGTGCTGTGTAGATTTATATGGTCATGCTGATTGCTGTAGCATGCTATTATAGGTTTATGCATCTATACAAAATTCAGCCCATTATATTCAGAACTAGTTTCTCTTCCTCCTATTTCCAGGACAAACAGTGATCCCAGCAGATATCAGTTCTGCTTGATTCTTGTTTTTTTTTTCTTATGCTACAAGCCAATTGAAATCTACCCCCCCCCCCCAATTATACTTCTTTATTTGTCCCGTAGCAGCCCTGGTATGTCACACTGCTAATAGACCTAATCGCTGTGATGTCAGCCTACTTTGTCAGTGATTTCAACCGAGAACAGGATGGGAAAAAGCAAAGGTAAGTTGCAGGGTATAGAGGGGAATTATGTTAGTGCGCTGTGTTTGCATCTGTTTGGGGCAGGAGGAATTAAGGCAGATTGACACAGATTATGTAGTTCCAGTCTCCTGGTTATGCCTGATGCTGCTTTTTTAGTCTGAGGATTAGGCATGCCTCTAAGGACTGATTCACACATTATGAAGTCTGTGCAGCAGACATATGGACTGTTGCCAGACATGGATGTGGAAGTTCTTGGCTGGGGACTTAATTCCCAGGTAGGTATAGGCCTCATTTGGATTGGGACCGTGGCGAGGAGGAGGAGGAGATTGGATTTGTACCCCACCCTTCACTCAGAGAGAGCGGTTTACGAACTCCTTTCTCTTCCCCTCCCCACAACAGACACCCTGTGAGGTAGGTGGGACCGAGAGAGCTCTTTCCAGAGCTGTCCTTGAGAGAACAGCTTGCCCAAGGTCATCCAGCGGCTACAAGTGGAGGAGTGAGGAACCAAACCCGGTTCTCCCAGATTAGAGTCCGCATGCTTAACCACTAATACCAAACTGGCTTATGCCTTCACCCTGTGCAGTTTTACTAACCTTAAATGGCTGTGGGGAGCTGCTGTTTGTAGACCTCAATAAGTTTCCCCTAGTGGGACAAATAGTGGCTCAGTGGGGACTTTCCAGGTTATGAAAACTGTGTTGGGGAGGAGGCAGAAGCTTGCCTCACCCTGGACCACAGTCCTGATCTGAACTGGGCCTGGGCATGTATGAGAATTCAGTTACAAGCACAGATCTTCCAGTGCATGTCTAGTCTGGCCGTCCATGTGTCTGCCATGTGTGAATCAACCCTCGGTCGTTATCTGCTGTTATATAGGAACTGAGCCGGTCAAAGCATCGGAGAGTTTGAGTTGCTGTCTTAAGCTAGTTGCCAAGTAAAAAAGCTAATCCTCAGTGTCTAAGACACATCTTTCTGTAGTTTTCAGGCATTCCACAGTTCTGCTAGTCAGTTTTTAGCCTTGCTTCCCACACTGATGGCACTGCCCACAGATCAAGAGTTCAGGCTGCGAGAGCAAAGTCTCATGGTAAGGGGGCATGTCTCACCTCCTTTTTTTTCTGATCAATCTGGCTCTGTCTTGCCTTAAGATCTCCTCTTTTCTCCTTTCCTTAACCTTTACTTTTTATTGCTTGGCTCCATATGCATAAACAAGTGGCACTGGGGAACCCTCTGCATATTAATCTGAAGGGAGGGGAATACAAATATAGCCTGATTAAAACTAAAGCTAGGATTTCTGTATTGCCTTCTCCCTGCAATTTGTTATGGGCCCCACATGCAGCCAGCTGGGTGACCTTGGGTCAATCACAGTTCTCTCAGAGCTGTTCTCTCAAGAGCAGTTATCTCAGAGAAGAAGAAGAGAAGAGATTGGATTTATACCCAGCCCTTCACTACCCAAGGGAGTCTCAGAGCGGCTTACAAACTCCTTTCCCTTCCCCTCCCCACAACAGACACCCTGTGAGGTAGGTGGGGCTGAGAGAGCTCTTGACAGAAACTGCTCTTTTTCAAGAACAGTTGTGCCAGAACTATGGCTTGCCCAAGGTCATCCAGCAGGTGCAAGTGACAGAGTGGGGAATCAAACCCGGTTCTCCCAGATTAGAGTCCGCGCACATTTAACCACTACACCAAACTGGCTCTCTCAGCCCCACCCACCTCACAAGGGTATCTGTTGTGGGGAGGGGAAGGGAAAGGAGATTGTAAGCCGCTCTGAGACTCCAAGTGAAGGGTGTAGTCTAAATCCAACTCTTCTTTTTCTGCTGCTTCTTCTGTTTGTAATAGTGTAAGAGCCAAACAAGACTTTAGGGACATATGGAGAACAGTATAGAATAATGGTGATGGGGTAATGACATAGGCATTGGTTTAGAAAGGAGATAATCTTTAATAACATGCTAGAAGAAGAAGAGTGAAGAAGAGATTGGATTTATACCCCACCCTTCACTTGGAGTCTCAGAGCAGTTTACAAACTCCTTTCCCTTCCCCTCCCAATAACAGGCACCCTGTGAGGTAGGCGGGGCTGAGAGAGCTGTGGCAGAAACAGCTCTTTTTCAAGGACAGCTGTGCCAGAGCTTGTGACTGACCCAAGGTCACATCAGCAGCTGCAAGTGGATGAGTGGGGAATCAAAACTGGGTTCTCCCAGATTAGAGTCTGCACACTTAACCTCTACACCAAACTGGCTCTCATTGGAGGAATTAAAATATATATGGGGAACAGGGGGAGGTTGGAGGTACTTTAAACTTCTCACTACAATGCTGGTTTTATTTTTCTACACTCTTCAGAAGTGGTTATCAGAGCTGCACAGGAATAAAGGGCAGTTCTTATTCCTCATTCCTTCTTTCCTAATCTAGCCAAGGATCCTATTGCCACGCATATTTAAGCATTGTGCTTAAAATATTTTACTGTTGTTCCTGTCAGCTGCTCACTTGCTCAGAGCTCTACGCCCGTTAAAATGACTCTGATTTCAGTAACACAGCCTCAGTGTTGGGATCTGGGTAGCATCTCCTCCGCCTCTTCCCAGTCTTCCCTCTGCATTTTAACCATGTATCTCTTGCCCTCACAGTGCTTTACTTGCTTGTGTGAAAGCATGGATGTTGCCTGCCCCTCCGTCTCCACCCCTTTCTACAACAGTTTGTTTGAGGATCATGGGCTTCTGTTGGATGTCCTCTGCCATGGCGCCAGTGGGAGAACCTTAAAAGGTAATAAATGCTGTAGAGGGAGCTGCATCTTTCAGGGCTGTGCATAATACCCACATCTTCAACAACCCTAAACGTGTGTGTTTCCATGTTTTTGGTGGCTGTTAGCAGTCACTGTCTCCTGACCCTTTGCGCCTCATTTGCTCTTTCGATTGTCCTTAATTATGTGATCCCCACTTTTTCCTAGTTTGTCTACCTTTACCTTACTGTCTGGGTCCAGCCCGGACTAGCCCCCGCAGGACCGCGCCCCCCCCCAGAACAAGAGAAGGCAGAAAAGCCACCTGACAGCCCACATGGCAGGCAGAGGAAGCGGCTCCGGAGGTGCCCCCTCCGCCTGGCCAAGACCCTGGAGCACCTACTGGGGGCGAGCAGGGGGCAAAGGTGGCCGCGATGAACCCCCAGAAGGAAGCAGCGGCAGGAGGTGTCAGCTATGCTGCCGGAGGTGCCGAATGTGACAGCTGCCCTTCCCAAACGTGCGGGGAGGAATGAAGGAAGGCCAGGCGGCACGGGTCCTGGCCATGCCCAGCAGCGGAAGAACTGGCAGTATGAAGGGGCTCGCTGAAAAGCCCTGGTCGAGGCCTCGTGGGAGGGCAGCAGGCCCAGCTGCAGTGGAAGAGAAAGGGGTGGTGGTAGCGTGAGGGCAGCTGAGAGCTGCCGCCTCAAATGTCCCCACAGTTATACTGGGGGCGGGGCCCCAACTGGGGGCAGACCCAATAGAGGGTGGGGGGCAGGGACCGGGGGGGGGTGTAAAGGGGAGGCGATGGAACCAGCCGAGGAAACCCGGCAGGGAGCCCAGAGAGAGAGACGTCTGAATGCTGGGCCCAGAGAACTAGTGGAGGTCAGGTGGCGTAACCCCCTCCCAGCTCAGAGCTGAGGCTACTCCTGTCCTCCCCACCACCCTCCTCTGACCCAGTGGGACCCCCCCAAGAAGGGATACCCCCAGCATCGCCCGGGAACGCAGTGGCGTCAGGCAGGAAGTCGACGGGTGGCCAGGGAACCCGTGACACTTAGCATCAGTCTTTTGCACCTTCTGACTGCTTGTTATTTACGATCACAAGAGCAAGGATTGATCTGAGCTGAGGATAACCACAGGTTTGTACTGGATGCTGGGACTGAGCCACAGATACCCTAACCCTTGATCATATGGAAACTGTGGACTCTACCACTGAGGACTGGCCACCAACTCCAGGGTGGTGTAAGTCTTCCAAACGAGAGGATGTGACTTCTAGGAAGTGTGAAGCTCTTTGTGGTTCCTTAAAAATCTGCCAGCTTTGCACTGTTCTCCTTGCCGTGGTGTAAGTTACTATACTAGTTAACTTTTTCCCCACATATGCTTAGTATATTAAGTCTTACTGTAAAAAAAAACAAACCTCTCCCTCCACCTCCAACAGAGCCACCGAAGGAGGCAAAGTCAGTGCAGGACTGGAATGAATGCCTGGTGGCAGCATATGCAGCCGCTCTAGCTGCATCCTGTGGCATCCCAGGAGGGCACGGCACGTGTCATAAGGCCAAAAAGCAGGTGGGAGTTTTCTTGGCGCTTGCAGTCCTGAGCAACCAACAACTCAGCCCCCTCAAGTGGTGGCTCCTGGTTACTGGTCACCAGGGGTCATTTCGAAGAAAAAGAGGTGCAGGAGCTCATTAGCATAACTCATTTGCATAACTTATTTGCATATGCCACACCCCCTGACATCACCGGAAGTGTCTCGGAAGGAAACACCCACCGCTCAGCCTCCACTGGACTGTTTGGGATTGCTAGCTATTTGGGGGGGGGGGACGTGCATATCTGTCCTCGCAGAGGAGGGAGAGCTTGTACCTGAATAAACCTTGGTCTTAAAGGTGCTACTGGACTATTTTGGACTGGGGGGGGGTGCTCTGCAGCTTACCTGGCTGCTTCTTGCTCTGACTGAGGGCTGCTGGGAGCAGGGGGTGGGGCTTGTTGCATGTGCCTGCCCTCTGGGTTCTTTACTGCCGGAGCTCCGCTCCTGTGCGCTCCTGCAAGAAATGACCCCTGCTGGTCACAAGTGAGAGCGCATATCCAGTATTGGTCCTAGCACTGGGGAGGATGAGGAGGCCTCTTGCAGCTGTTGCCTGGTGTTTTTTGACCTGCAGTTGATCAGAGGCAACTTTGTAGCTCCTTTACACATTTAATCATGTCCTTGATACAAATCAGATCTGAGCCCCCCTGAGGTGCTAAGGAATTTAACACTCATAATTCAAAATCCGTTGTTTTCTGTGGAAAGATTATTAAAATGTATTGCTGTAGGAAACTTCCAAGATCAGCTCACGCAGGTGAGGTTTGCAGGATACAGCTCTAAGAGAAGAGCCCCCTCCTCTCTCTCCCCTTCCCCTCACAGCTAGACAGCGACAATTCTTCAGCTCTTGACAGTATTGAAAATCAGTTTTGGGGTTTCCTTACAGATCTCCCAGCAAATAGCTGAGAAGCTCACTGAGGAAGGTAACCAGTTGCTGCCCAGACTCTTTGCAAGACTTGAACATCCAGCCTTTCATTTGACTGGCCTAAAGGTAACGTGTCTGCCTCTGTTTCTTCCATTTCTGTGTGGGTTAAAGAGGAAGTGGCCAGGCCCCCTTTGCCTTTGAGGCCACAGGCTTTTATGCAGCCCCCTCCTTCCTCCTGGCTGAGGATGAGAGAAATGATGTGTTGGTGATTCGTTCTTCCTCTGTCCTTCCATTGCTCAGCTCCTGTATGCCTGTTGTCATGTAAGTCAGAATCTGTGCTGCCTTGTAGCGACTCAAGAGGTGCTGAGTTCCCTGATCAGTCATCTGCAAGGAAAGGTGGGTGTTGTTTGGTGTGGTGATGAGAGTGTCGGATAGGACCTGGCTTCATATCCTTTCTTTCTATGAAAGGCGCTGGGTGATCTTGGGCCAGCCATTCTCACCCTAACCTACCTCACAGGATTGTTGTGAGGATAAAACGGAGGAACCACGTATCTTGTTCAAAGCACCTTGGAGGAAGGGCGGGATAAAAATTCCACGAAAGAAATAATGTTCTTGCTGCTTGGAGAGTGTGGACAGGTTTCAGCTGGAAGTCTTACTACTCAGCAGCATATATTGAGGGGGGGACGTGGGCAGAGCTTGAGCGTCAGAGGTGGCACTGAGGAGAAGAAAGTGGGGGAGTGGGAGAGCCGATACAAAGGGGTGGGTCTGGTTTGAAAAAGGCCGTGGGATATCCGTTTCATAGTGGAGTGAAGCATTGTGGGAGACACGTTTGAGCAGCCTCCATTTGGACAGCATACAGGACGGAAAGGGGATGGATTGTGAGCACAGTGTCCTTATGTCTTTGGAAGGTCCCACTGGCAGAACAGGCACAAGTGCAGGCAGCCGAAGCCTCCCTTAGACTTCTCTCCGTGCTGCTTCTCCAGTTACAGAGTCTCCCGCCACAGTAAGTGCTGTATCTCCCATTCAGATTCTTTTCAGGAGGCTAGCAGATACTTTACTTTTAGTATTGATTGGCAGGAAGGGAATGGCCTCCAGTAAGTGCCATACATGTCAAGGGAGAAGGATTCATAAATCTCTGGAGAAGTTCAGAAGGTTCCTACACATCTCCAGTTTGGTGTTGTGGTTAAATGCGTGGACTCTAATCTGGGAGAACCGGGTTTGATTCCCCACTCCTCCACTTGCATCTGGCTGGATGACCTTGGGCAAGCCGTAGTTCTGATAAGAGCTGTCCTTGAAAAAGAGCAGTTTCTGTCAAGAGCTCTCTCAGTCCCACCTACCTCACAGGGTGTCTGTTGTGGGGAGGGGAAGGGAAAGGAGTTTGTAAGCCGCTCTGAGACTCCCAAGTGAAGGGCGGGGTATAAATCCAATCATCTCTATCTCCTCCTCCTCCTCCTCCTCTTCTTCTTCGGACGGTCATAAAACATGCCAGTTGTCCAGTGGGGAACATACTGTCTTATTGTGTTGTCAAAGGGTAATGTGCTATGAAGTTTAAAGGAAAGTTACGTTATGGGGTGCTGACATTTTTGTTCTTGTACAGGGCCCGAGTGGGGCTGACAAAAGAGTCCTTTCAGATTTCGGAACTGATCACCCAAACAGATGTTAAAAATTTATTTGAATTTGGTTTTTAAAATGCACACCTAACATAATGCTTTATTAACCAGAAAGTGGATTTATTTATTTATTTATTTATTTATTCGTCTTTTATTCCGCCCTTCCGCTGAAGTGGATTATTTTAATCTAATTTTTGTCATGGATTTGAGGAGAGTCGGTGGGCCTTTACCCCTTCGGCCCAGTGGAGGTTTGGGTGACGTTGTATAATAACTTCTGAAGCACTGCAGTAGTAATAGATAGAAATGTGGATGGGTGGCAGGAACTGGGGCCATAAGAATGAAGGAAGCTGCCTTTTTATTTACTTATTGAACTTTGACCCTCCCCTCCCAGCCAAAGCCCGCTCAGGGCAGCTTTACAGAAACAGATAATTACCTTAAAAGCATGCGTTACAATCAATGTTCCCTCTAAGCTGTGGAATCCTGTGAGCAAAAATTCTACTTGGTGAGCTCCTCGCATTAAAGTTGTGAGCAAGCGATTTGGCTGCTGCATGAATTAGTTTGCTCTGAAGCCCTCCTTCCTGAGCTAAGACAAAAATCTGTGAGCTGGAGGCTAAAAAGCTGTGAGCTAGTTCACACTAACTCAGCTTAGAGGGAACACTGGTTACGATTAAAACAGTTCTAAAACCATGATAAAGTGCTAGTGATCATTATTATATTGTTATTTATTTCCAGTGAATCAGACCAGTGAATCAGTTCAGTCTTGTCTACACAGACTGGCAGCCGTGTTCCAGTGTTTTAGTTGTGGTCTTTCAAATCACGTTTCTGGATCCTTTTAACTGGAGAAGTCGAGCATTGAACGTGGGACCTTCTGCATGCAAAGCAGATGCCGTACCACCAAGTCTTAGCCCCTTCCCGGCCACATTTTGAAAATCTGTTCCATCCCTCTAATGCTATTGCTTCTTGTTATTTTAGGTCAGATGCTGTGCTGAAAGAGACCACAGAGCTTTTCAACCATGTAGCAGCTGCTTCTGTTTTAGTGAGTCATCCTGCCTATGGAATTTCCTGCTACCTGACTCTTGGGAAAAGTGTAGAATTCCCTATATCAGTGATATTTAGTGGGTCAGAAGCCACAGAAGCACCTATCCCATGTGCCAGGGAGGTGGGCACTTCATTTAGATTAGAAATTGGGGTTATTTCAGTATTACTATGGGCCCAGTATAAAACACCACACAACTATCAGTGATGACTATATCAGTGTTGTGCAGATGGATGGGGTTTGTGTATGTGGCCAGATCAACATATGCAGCTGAATGAGGTGGTGGAATGGGCTATACCACTGTCAGATACTAGCCCATAAAACGAAACCCTTTGCAAATAGAAAACTTGGCACAGTGAATGGTTCTAGCCATTTTGTATCCTGTAGAACTAGAGCTGATCTTGAAAAGAATTTTTTGCAAAGAGAAGCAAATTGAGCAAAGAGAAGCATTTCATCTAGCCTAAAATAATTCTGGAAAACTCAAAAGCTTGCACACTATTTGGCATCGTAAGTCTTGACTTGCAAGCCCTTCTCCTCACTTTGGGTGCAAATGAGCTGGCTAAAGTTAAATAGTAGTTAGGAGGGACAATCCTACATTTTCAGAGGTACTCTGGCAATTCAAAGGGTTACGTTATGATTATACATGATTGTTTGTATGTGCTTGGGGTGGTGCACAGGACACAAAGTAGTGATGTGACTTATTTGGATGGTGGGAATTATAAATGTGGTTCTTCGCAGTCCACACTAAGTATTACTTCCCTATATGAAGTCATATCTCTAGGCATGAGGGACATGGTCTGTTAACACCTAGCTACAGGCATTCTGTTTTGTGGCAACTTACCTTATACCTGGTAGTAGCTTCCTCCTCTGTGCTGCTGAAGCATTTCTTTTCCACAATTACATTCAACATAGAATCATAGAGTTAGAAGGGACCTCCGGGGTCATCTAGTTCAATCCCCTGCACAATGCAGGAAAATTCACAAATACGTCCCCCCTCACACCCCCAGTGAGTGACCCCTGCTCTATGCCGGGGGGGGGGCGGCTTCAGGATCTCTGGCCAAATTGGCCTGGAGAACAATTCTTCCTGACCCCAAAGTGGCAATCAGGATTTCCCTGGGTGTGTAAGAACTAAGTACTGAGGCAACCCTTCCTGCCCTCCTCCTCGTTATCTGCCTAAGTTCACAGAATCAGCATTGCTGTCAGAGGGCCATCTAGCCTCTGTTTGAAAACCTTCAAAGAAGGAGAGCCTGCCACCTCCCAAGGAAGCCTGTTCCACTGAGGAACCACTCTAACTCAGGAAAGTCCTCCTGATGTTTAGCCGAAAACTCTTCTGATTTAATTTCAACCCGTTGGTTCTGGTCCGACCTTCTGGGGCAACAGAAAACAACTCCGCCCTATCCTCTATACAACAGCCCTTCAAGTACTTGAAGATGGTTATCATATCCCTTTCAGTCATCTCCTCTCCAGGCTAAACATAGTCAGCTCCTTCAGCCTTTCCTTACAGGACTTGATCTCCAGGCCCCTCACCATCTTCATTGCCCTCCTCTGGACATATTCCAGCTTGTCTATATCCTTCATAAATTGTGGTGTCCAAAACTGAACACAATACTCTAGGTGAGGTCCAACCAGAGCAGAGTAAAGCAATACCATCACTTTGATTGATCTGGACACTATACTTCTGTTGATACAACCCAAAATGGCAGTTGCTTTTTTAGCTACCGCATCACACTACTGATTCATGTTCAGTAAATGGTCTACTTAAGACCCCTAGATCCTTTTCGCATATACTACTGCCAAGACAAGTTGCCCCCATCCTATAATTATGCATTTTATTTTTCCTATCTAAATGCAGAACTTTACATTTATCCCCATTGAAATTCATTTCTAGCCTGTCAAGATGATCTTGACTCTGTCTTCTATGGTATTTGCTACCCCTTCCAATTTAGTGTCATCTGCAAATGTAATAAGCATTCCCTCTATTCCTTCATCCAAATCATTGATAAAGATGTTGAACAAAACAGGTCTCAGGCACTCCATTTGTCACTCCTCTCCAAGAGGATGAGAAAACATTAACAAGCACTCTTTGGGTGCAATCTGTCAACCAGTTACAGATCCACCTAATAGTAATAGGGTCCAAACCACATTTTACCAACTTGTCAACAAGAATATTATGTGGAGCTTTATCAAAAGCCTTACTGAAATCAAGATAAACTATGTCTACAGCATTCCCTGATCCAGCAAGGTAGTAACTTTCTCAAAAAAAGAGATGAGGTTAGTCTGACATGACTTGTTTTTGAGAAACCTATGCTTCGTGAACACAGCTATCCTTTCTAAATGATCAAGGACTGACTGATGATTTGTTCTAAAACTTCCAGGTGTACACGTCAAGCTGACAGGTCGGTAATTACCCAGATCCTCCTTTTTCCCCTTCTTGAAGATGGGAACAACATTTGCCCGCTTCCAATCTTCTGGCACCTCACCTGTTCTCCAAGAATTCTCACCCATGAGTTCTTTTAGTACCCTTTGATGCAGTTCATCTGGCCCTGAGGACTTAAGTTTCATTTAAAGAAACTAGGTGTTTATGTACTACCCCTATGCCAGTGATAACGAACCTTTTAGAGACCAAGTGCCCAAACTTCAACCCAAACCCCACTTATTTATCACAAAGTGCCAACACGGCAATTCAACCTGAATACTGAGGTTTTACTTTAGAAAAAACAACTCATACATTAACTTAAGATGATCCAAACAAAGTAAGGAAAGCAATCCCAAATGCTTTCATTTACTTAAAATTATTTGGCAGAGAATTCGACACTTTAATGATGGTCTAGGCCTGGCTGGGGCGATGGCACGCGTGCCCACAGAGAGGGCTCTGAGTGCCACCTCCGGCACCCGTGCCATAGGTTCGCTACCACTGCCCTATGCCAATCCTAGGCCACAACTCCCTTCCCTCATCATGTGTTCTGTTTTTGCCATGTTGAGCACCATTTCCCTTCCAAGAGAAGACTGAGGAAAAGTAGGAATTGAGGAGTTCTGCCCTCTCTTCATCACCTGTTACAATTTCACTTTCCTGAGCCCGCCATGGGCCTACCATGTCCTTGCTCTTTTTCTTACTTTGAACTCTTTTGTTGTTGTTTTTAGCATCTCTTGCTAGCCTAAGCTCATACAGAGCTTTAGCTTTTCTAACTCCCTCTCTACAAGTACTGGTGATTTGTTTATATTTACCCTTGCTTATAAGGCCTTCCTTCCATTTCCTAAATGAGTCTTTTTTATTTCTCAAATCTTTAGAAAGCTGTTTATGGAGCCACCTTGGCTTCTTTAGGGTCCTTCCATTTTTTTCCTTCTCATAGGAATTGTTTGTGATTGTGCCTTCAATATTTAACTTTTCAGAAACTCCCACTCCTTTTTGAACTCCCTTCTCCATAAGTATTTCTCACCATGGGATTTAGGGCTGCCAAGTGGCAGCGGGGGATCTGCTGCGGGGACGGCGACACACGTTGCACCCGCCGTCGCCAGGATGTGACGCTACGCGTCGCTCTGGCAACGTCCCGTTGCCAGAGCGACGCGTAGCGTCACATCCTGGCGACGGCGGGTGCAACGTGTGTCGCTGTCCCCGCAGCAGAGCTCCGGTAAAAACTCGCAGATCCCCCGCTGCCACTTGGCAGCCCTAATGGGATTCTAACCAGCATAACTTTAAGTTTGTCAAAATTTGCTCTCCTGAAGTCCAACCTGTATGTCTATGTGCAGGCTTTCCCTCCCCCAAGACTAAATCCCAAAATTATGTGGTCCCTACTCCCCAGGGTGCCCACTACTTTCACCTCATCAACCAGGTCTTCCCTGTTGGTGAGAATGAAGTCCAAGATAGCAGATCCCCTTGTTTCCTTCTCCACTTTCTGGACAATGAACTTGTCAGCAAGACAAGTCGGGAATTTATTGGACCTTTCATTTTTAGCAGAGTTGGATTCGAAAGCCGCCCTGAGCCTGCTTTGCGAGGAGGGAGGGCTATAAATTTGACAATTTAAAAAAAAATGGGTAATTTTAATCTCCCATGACCACCGTGTCCCATCTCTTTGAGAACTTTGTAATCTGGTCCAGGAGCATCTCATCCAAGTCCTCTGCCTGGCTTGGTGGTCTATAGCAGACCCCCACCATAATACCCCTATTATTTCTACTACAACATGGCACATAAGATATTTATTTAACTTCTTGATTTCTTATCCTATTCTCAGTCAGATTCCTGAAGCAGTTTGCAATTAGAGACAGTAAGTCCCACTTCATAGAGTGCTGTACTCCCCTTAAAAATCAAATAAAACCTACTGTATGTTTACTCAAAAACAAGTCCTGTTTATAAAGGTCCTGTTTCTCCATGCAACTATCCCTTTAATTTCCTCTTGCATCTTTTTTTAAAGACTTCTGCTTTATAGCTTAATTAACTGATGGTTCTTTACTCAGTGTGGCTGTGGCATTCTTGAATCAGTTGTTAAATGTTGGTCCCTGCTCCCTTATTTTTGCTTGGGTGGGGGCTTCGTATTTGCAGCCAAGGCAATTAGGGGGGAAAAGAGCCATTTCTTTGACTGCAAGCTGTCAATTAAGCCCCACAGACACAGGAACCGCTTCTTAAGAGTGGATTCAGAAATGACACAGTCATGCCAAATTAACAGGAAACAATTAGTTAAGACAAGAGGAAGAAGCCTGAAAGGGGGGGGGGAGCACTTAAAGGGAGAGAAGCCCTAGGCTGCCTCAGTGGCTCTTTGTCAATCCACATAGAGAGGCTTGCACTGTGATTGCATTTTCAGTTATAACAGTTACCACAAAAATGTGATAAAAATTGGGGGGGGGGGGACACAGAAAAGCAACAGGTTGTCAACATTTTTGACTGGTTTCACCATTGAACTGTGAATGAATGATGTCCATTCTAAATTAAATAGCTAGTGTGGAAGAAGACTGATTTACTATAACTGCAAAAAAAGGGATATACAACTCTTTCTGCACCCAGTTGGAGACATCACAGATCAGATGTCTCTTTGCTAACAATCCGATCCACATCCACAACAAAGAGTGCCATCTGACTTTTACATAATACCAAGGTCTCCCTTTTCGTGCAGAGTGCTGCAGGACTGCTACTGACCCACTTCAGCCAGTACGGTGCTGCTGTGAAACTCAGGCGGGACAAGGCCTTTGCAGGAATAGCTACGGCACTCACAGAACCTGCACAGGTAAGTCACCAGCTCTAACAGAGGAAGATATACCAGGACACAGAGCAGGTTATCTTATGCTCACTGTCTAGTATTTTGGCTGCTTAACCCTGCTTTAAAATATCTTGCAGCTGTGCCTGCCACCTCCCATGGAAGCTGGTTTCTACGACGGGCTCATCCTCTTGTTACTGCAGCTCTTAAGCCAGGTATGGGCTTCCTTCAGTGTCACAAGAAACAGCTTCTTCGCATTCTTTCGAGGATATACAAAAGTGATATAGGAGGTCTATATATGGAATGTATGGGAATGCTTTTGTTGCCAGGTCTTCCCCAAGTAGTATGAGGCAAGACAAGAGTCTCAAGAGACTCAGCACTGCAGCTTGGTGATGATAATAAGCACCCAGGCTGTAGCCTTCTTGATCAAGGATTTTTCTCAGAAACAGCCCCGTCCACCAATGGGAGAGACAAAGGCATCGTGGAAAGGAGAAGGGGGAGACAATAAGGGGTCTACAACTTGATCTAAAATCCCACAGTTTGCTGCTGATTCAGTCCCTGGGTTTCTGGGCACATCAGGTACATCCAGCAACCTGGCCTTGAACCCCCTCATTCCTG